GATAATTCTTTGGACTATTACTAAAGTAAACTCTGCGTATGTTCATAATATAAGATTATCAGTAATTTTCTATTAAAAAGGCCCAGTGTGGTCTCCTTAGAAAACCATTATGAAAAGGAAGCCAAGAAGAGAAGGAAGAAGCACAAAAGATTCCCCAGCGTAAGGACAAGAACGAGGTAAAGTCTGTGCTTCTGAGAACCTGGTTTAAATGTATAGGAAATAACCTTGAAACAGACAAATCCCAATGCAGACTCATTAGCCCGAGAGCTAATTTTTACTCTAATTTTGCACCCCCTCCCCTCCCGTCCTAGTCTCCACCATCAGTCTTGTGGATATTCCGAAGAATTGAGGGTTTTATAGACTCTGTAGGGGGTATGAAAAGGATAGGGGACAGTGACGACTTTAATTAAGGCAACTCTCTTCCAGGATTGAGGGGGAAGTGTCTTGGTGCCATCAAATAAACTCCTTGCTTCCTTCTTAAATGAAGACAACCGCAACTTTATCCCTCAAGCCCTCGGAGAGGGGAGAGGCCCTCGGGAAAGCAGGTCTGGGGGCGGAGGAAGGGCAGCTGCAGTGATCTTGGCAAAACCCGCACCTACCTCTTGAACTACAGTGACTCTTTCGCAGAGCGCCTTCCTGTAATCTAAGCACGACCACCTGGACTACTAATCAGAGGAAAAAAGAAAGGAGGAAAAGGAAGGGAGGGCGGTAAAAAGTCCGCTTTAGTAGATCCAGGCAACGTCGTGAAGAATGAAAAGAATCAAATGAAAACAGGGGCTGGAATGGTGCTAAGGGCTGGCTTTTGTGAACACATTTGCACTAGTCTAACTCAGCTCTACATTATAAGGAAATTCCTTGTTTACCATCCTCGTAGGAGGTCCTTAAATATCTGCCTGCGAACTCCGAGGACTGGGTGCTCACTAGTTAGGGGAAGCAGCCTTCCCGGAGGGGGTCCGGCTCGGAGGGCTGGCAGGTTCACTCGTCCGTAACTTCCACCCTGGGGTCTTAGCGTCCCCTCGGATACGGTGCTGACCGAGTGCCATCCTGATTTCACTCGACCGAGTCCGAGCCGCAGCCCACGGCAGGAGCTGCAAGGGCCGGGCAGAGTTCCAGGCGAGAGGGGCCGAGAGGCGTGAGCAGCGCTCCGCCGCGCTGGTCAGAGAAGCGGAGCCGCGGCTCCTTTGTGGGCTGGTCCATCCCCCTCCCGGGTGCACGGCGGGGACATTAGATCTGCGGGGTGATTGATAAGTGCGGGAGAGGGGCCGCCGGCCCTCCCACCCCCTCTCTTCCCTCCTCCTCCCTCCCGCCCTCCTTCCATCCTCCCTCCCCGCTCCCTCCCTCCTTCCTGCCAGAAGCGCTGCCCGGTGGCGAGCGGCTCCAGCGGGGATCTGCCTGCCCTTGGGGGCGCCGCCCGCGCTCGCCGCCGAGCCCTCGCTCCGGGGCCGCGCCGGTCCGAGGCTGTGCCGCCTCCCGCGCCTCCCCGGGTCGCGGATGCTGCGGGCGCCTCCGGGGGAAGCTCGGGGCGGCGCGCTCTCCGGGTAAGTTCTGAGCGCCGGGGACGCCGCGGCGACGCAGCCGGCGAGCGGGCTCGGCGACGGAAAAGGCAGGGGCCTTTCCCGGCCGCCTCCCCCCCGCGG